TATATTGAATAGACAACAGTCGCTAGAGGGCGGAATAATATGCGACGGAAATTAGACCAATCACAGAGCGACGAATTGCATATCCGGCCGATTATCTAAGTTAAATGCAAAATCAATGGAGCAGCTTTTGAAATAAACAAATTTAAGCTTTTCTCAATCTAACTTAAACATGGAACGAAAGCTCAGAACACTACTTGAACGACATCCCAGAATTAGCAGCGGCAACGAAATTGAAGAAATCGATCAGAACATACAAGTAGTTACAACAGAATTCCGGAACACTAAGAGTAGTTCCATTTTATCAATTCCATCGGTTTATCCAGGTGAAAGTTATCTGCCGGTAAATACTGAAAATTGTTTAATGTCTATAATTCCTCGTATCCATCAGAAACCTAATTACAAGCCATCATCGAAAAAATTAACTGCAAGGACCCGGAATTACAGACTAAGATTACAGCGATGAGCAAAGATTACGCTCAATACACGCAGGACTTTCATATGAAAGACGGATGCCTGTGGATGGACGATAAACTCGTAGTCCCAAACTCTTCACAAACGGCGGCGAGCAACCGATTGCACTATTACCATCACAGAAAATCTACCATGTACGACGCAGCAAAAGACATCTGGTACCCGTACATTTACCGCAGCCCAATGTCAATCGCAGAAAATTGCCGAGAATACACACTAGCCGGTAAGATTTTGAAAAACATGTGTCCAAAAGGGGATGTAGGAAAAATACTTGAACCCAAAAACCCAAATGAATCTGTACAATTAGACTTTTGGGGGCCAATCATCTACTTAAAAGAATCTAAAAAGTACGTTCTGGTGGTGGTGGACCATTTTTCTTGATGGCCATCGATCATGGTATGTAACTCAAATCGGTCGGATACAATTCTTAAAATTTTTTGATCATATATCAATGCGCATGATGTTCCGCGGCAAACCCGAGTGGACCAAGGAACGATTTTCATGTCCAAGGACGTACGAACTTTCTGTCACCAAGAAGGAAATGAAATAATTATCTCGCCGGTTAATGACCATAGAGCAACAGGGTGCGTCGAGCGTACCATTGGCTGCCTAAAAACTTCGGTTCTCAAAAATGCGCGAGAAGAGTAACTGGAACCCTTGGAGTGGATGCATGAAATAACCCACGGTGTTTTAAGATTTGCTAAAAATGCCACGCTAAATTTAACACCTTTTTAGCTCATCAAGGGAGGGAAGCCAATACGGTTCTCAGGAATTTGACTAAAAAACCTTCGTTAAGGAACCTAACTTGTGGAAAACGTTTTTACCTCAAAATCTGCCTGTTTAGATGACAAAACCCAGACGCACAATTGATGCCGCATCCAGCGGAGACAAACTGGGAAGTCCGATCTGATACCGTGTACAATGTCAAAAACAGACGCCACCCACTGCAAGTATCGGACGAGCAAATTGTTGATCAGGATGTGGAACCAGGAATCGGCCGGAACGCGAAGGCACCATCGGTTTCAACGCCACCAATTGTCGTGATGCAGTGGAGGGGGACAAAAACCTAAATAGGTATAAACCATTAACATCCAAAATCGTAGATTAAAGTGAGCATACTATTAAAATGAGTATTGGTGCTGTGCTTAAAAAATCCGGAGTGGCGTTAAAACGGATCACAATCCCACAGAAAAGAGCGCCTGGAGCAATTCGAGCCCCGCTAACACCGCAAGAACTGAGACGGAAATTACTGGCGAGCAAGCCATCCGGTTCCAAAGGGACCACAGGCACTAAAAACACCGCAAGCACCAAAGCCAAACGAAGTAGAATTACGGAGAGCGACGACTACTCGGACTCAGATCAGGACGACAATTTGGCACTGGCGGAAAAACGAATGTTCGGCCGAGCAGCGACAACAACAACAGCAAAGGTGAACGTAGTAGGGAGGCACAATCTGTTATTGAAGCGCAGGAAAAAAATTTATGACAGGCGGGCGTCGAATTGGAGAAGGAAGCCACAATAGGCCGGCTGTTCCACAGGCCGGGATATAAAAAGCGGGTGAGAAAGCAACGGTTTGTCTCATACTCCAGTCAAGAGTCGGCGAGTTCACAAGGCGACACTAGTTGGAGACGTTCTGGAAGGAAAAGTACGACGGTAAACAAAATGGGGGATAACATCCAAAGAGCAGAAGACGCAGGGAAATAAAGGAGGAGCAAAAAGTACACTTGAGCTAAAATCTGTTTCTGAAGTCCAGGGAGAGGGCAGGCTGTAGAGCGGTAAAAAATCAACAGTTTAGTTATACCTAGTTGACATCAAGAAATCAAAACTCTACTGAAAACTTTCGCCCTTAAATTTTTATTTAATTATATTTCATCGAGTAAATCTTTAATTTTCATTCTCTCGCAGGAAGGGGAATGTCATAGTGATTAAATTAGTTCACAGTCTATTTCAGTTTCATTCTATTTGATGCAATCCAGTTATTTTATCTGTCTGGCGCTAACTGGTATTTAACTTTCGGAGTTGTCTGTCACCTTTGGATGACCTCTATTTTATTGTCTCCGACTAACTTTTTGTATTACAGTTCTCTACTTTCTATGGTAATTTAACCTATCGAAATGTGTTTCTTCACTCCTGAGCTGCCTTATTTTGACTGACCCTTTCTGGCTTTTGCCCTACCCACTATGCCCTGCGCTGAGCTGCCTTGTGCTTCAGTACTCTGCCTTGCGTTACCCTGCCCACCTTGCCTTGCGCTACCCTTTTTTATTGTGCTGCCTACCCGCCTTGTCTTGCATTTTTTTTTTGCCCTGACCTTCCTCGCTTGGCCCTGCCCTGTCCCTCTCTGCGCTGCCCTTTGCCGCTTTGCCCTGCCCCGTCTCGCATTGCCCTGCCTTGCCTGCCTGCCTTGTGCTGCCTTGACTGCCTGCCTTCCGCTGCCTTGCTTGCCTGCATTTATTTGCTCTGCTTGCCTCGTCCTGCCTTGCAATGCGCTGTCTCGCCTTGCTCCGTTAACCTCTGCTCTGTCTTGGTTTGGTCTGCCTGCGGTGCTTTGCTCTGCCTGCTTTATAGGTAGCTAGGGCTTAAATAGCTCGGATAGCTCGGATAGGCCCTGAATGTTCCAACTGGTTTTTAAGGTTTATGGAGCAGTAATAACATTTAAAAAAATTAAATGTAATAAAATAAAATGAAATTTTTTTTCTGAAATTTGAAATTTTTTAAAGAAAATCATCACCCCACACGCCATATAATGTACCAAAGGATAGGTTTCGGTCCTTGTAACAAATCAGTTATGGCAAGTAAGCTTCTTTCAACCAATTTGGAACGGTTTCTAAGACGAATTAAATATCCGCTTTCGCGTCAATAGTGGGAAATACATCGCGCGTTAATTGTCCCAAATGGACAATCTCTAAACCCCCATAACTTTACAACAAATGATCACAGGTGTAATATCTTTTAAAATTTAAGCTCTAGACAACAACACCTTTTGAATGATACAAAAAATGGCTAGTTAAAAAGTCGAAATTTGTCTGAAGAAAAAATAAACCCACCCCGAGCTCAAATATTCCGTTATTTTCGTATCGAAAGTCGACACAAAAACTATTTTGGCTCTAAATCAATCTGAAACAACAGCTCCTTGCTCAGTTTTTCCGAAATAATTTTTCAAAAATTTTTAATAATACTAGAATCGCAATTAAAACAGCTTTACTAGGATATATCAATCAATTCATCCAGATGAGTATTTGTGGTACCTGATTTTGCGTGAAAAACAAAAAAGAAAAATTAACAAGACTGCTAGTATCAGGGCGAAGTCTTGAAAAGTTTTGACTGCCTTTTAAGGTTTATGGAGCATATATGGAGCATATTTAAGGTTTATGGAGATTTATAATAACATAAATATCATTAACAAATTGAATGTAAGGATCTACTTAACAATCTCCCCTCCCTATTGTACCTACTAAAGAGATTGTTAAGTAGATCCGAATGTTATTTAAAAAAATTCTAAAATTTGAAAATTTTTCTATGAAAATCATCACCCCACGCGCTAAACTACAAAGGAATTGATTTCACTCCTTGTAACAAATCAATTATGGCAAATAAGTTTTTTTCGAATGATTTCTAAGACGGATTAAATCTCCGCTTACGCGTTAATAGCGCGAAATATATCGCGCGTTAATTGTCCCGAATTGGCCAAAATGGCAACCTTTAAACCCCCATAACTTTACAAAAAGTGATCACAGGTGAAATATCTTTTCAAATTTAAGCTCAGGGCAACAGTACCTTTTGAATGATATAAAAAATTCCGTCAAAAATGGCTAGGTAAAAAGTCGAAACTTGTCTGAAGAAAAAAACCACCCCGAGCACAAATATTCCGTTACTTTCGTATCGAAAGTCGGAACAACTATAACACACCCAATTGAAAAGTTCCTCCTCACTTTCAGTGGTCGAAACGAAAACCATACCGTAACAACAGATAAAATAGACGAAACAACAAATCATCAAAATGAAAAAATAACAACAATAGCAATCAAAATAACAACAATAGAAACAAAAACAGATGTAATACCTACACATAAAGATCCTTAAGCATACATTATATCACAAATTTTTTTTTTTAAAATGATCTGCAAAGGTTAGAAGAGTCGCAAAAGTTAACAAAAGGCTCGCAAATGCTCACAAATTATCCATCTGACGCGAAAGAAACATGAAGAACCAGATAACACTCAAATAAAACACATTCGAACTTGTTCATTTTTTTCTTACTGATTTGTTTTGATGAGAGTTACAAAAAGCAAATGATTTGAGACGGCCCAGGAATTCCAGTTTCAGCCAAAATCAAAAGGAAAAATTGTTTTCATTTTTTTGCGTCAAATCGGCTGGATATTTTTTCGTGCTAGCACTTTCGGAAAAACCAAATAGATGTCTGTTCTTTTTAATAACAGTTTAAAAACATTTGTTTAGTTTGGTCATTGTCGTTAGCAAATGTGTTTGAATAGGGATTTTTTTTCGAATGACGGGGGTCTTAAAAGAGGTGCCTGGTATGCGATGCTTGCAGCCGCACAGATAAGCAGGCAGTATATGAAGAGAGTTGCCAGCAGACCCCTGGCAGCTCTCCAGTTGCGGTCACGTGTGTCTCTGGGCACGAGGGAGTCCACGAACAGCTGATCGCCACTATTCCTGTGCTCGTGAGTCACTGTTCTGAAAGTGCTGATACGGAGCTCTGTTAATTTTTACAAGAACAATTGTTTCCGCAGCTGTTTTTTTTAAAATCCTTAGAATTATGAAGCTGATTATGATTAACGAAAAAAAACATTGAATCAGTTTTTGATATTGTGATAACCAGAAAAAAAGCATAAATTTGAGCAGAAGTGAGATAATTCACAAAAATGTTCAATAATCCCCGCTGTCTTAAAATGTTTACTACTGAAGCATTTCGCAGAAGATTAGCTACTCACCGAGCAAATTGGACATATTCATCTTTTCGCCAAGAGTAAAGGCATATACTGTTGTTAACAGTAAAGAGCGTTTCGTCGCTTTAAACCGCTGCAGCGATTTGCGATGAATGGCTTGATGGATGTGACAAAGGGGGCAACAAACAGGACAAGCAAAAAAGATAACACCAATAAATTGATAACACTGGAAAAAACGACTCCAGTGTAATCGTCTAATTGAAAAACCAGCGCAAATTTGCGGCTGCAAAAAGTATGGAAGCAAGAAAAGGAGAAAAATGGCCGGCTTAACCAAATAAAAACTGAAAGAGTCGACGTATGGTGATAAAGTCAAATGAAAGGTAAACTGGGAGCAAGTAATACACCGGATAACAAAAAAAATTCTAATTACATTTGCAAATGGTGTGTTATGTCTTTGTGTAGTACTGCGGTTTTGTGTAGATGAAAAAAAACTCTAAGCAGAAGCCGAATTTTTCATGTTTTCGAGCTCTGCTCCTTGAAAAATTCAACCTGCATCCAATAATGACGCAGCTTTCAAAAAATAAACTTTCTAACATTTAGTAGAATTCTTGAACTGCAAATATACTTTCTGAACTATTCATCAGTTAAATTAAATTACCAAATTCAGAGCAATGTGAGCAGTCAAGCAGTATAAGTTAAATAACATTTATTCAAACAAATTGACAAAAACTTTGGGAAGAACTTTGAGGTGAACTTGAGCGAAAATCTTTCCGAATTTCCTTTTCTGAATGTTTCAATATGCTTGACTGAAGACATCAGTTTTGACTATCAGTTCGACCAAGAAAAACATTTAGATAGCGCTCAAAACAGATCGAGGAATTATATTTCATACCCTTCGGATTCAAAAAATTGCTTACGAAAAAATTTCTTTTTCTGGATTTTTTTGTTACACTTCCATACATTTTCAGTGGAAGAGAAATTTCTATGATATCTCTGTGACAAGATCTAGTGATTTTGCAATTTGTACTAATTTAAATTTTTCTTTGAGAAAAATGTGTTCTCCTACTTTTTATCATTATTTAGTGTACTCGCTTTAAAAACTCATGACGATTTCCAAATGTGTAATGCCTGAGTTCTAGAAAAGAGATAGAGGGTGAGAATATCGAAATGATAAGTTTGGCCGAAAAATTCAACGACGTTACAAATAAAAGCACTTAGTTAATTTTGATAATTTTTGCTAAAAAGTGATGCTAAATAATACCTCTATGAGCTGAGGCTAAAGCCTTGGACGATCAGCAAAAACAAACAATGAATCTAAAAATGACAAAAATGCAGCACTTACTCATTAAAATTGACGCATTTTCCACCAAAACCTTAAAAAACTTCCCAATTGACATTTTGTAAAGTACGCGTGACCTCGCACCTAGCCTAAGATAAAAAATAGAAAATAGTAAATTTGCTTGTCGTCCAAATTATTGAAAAATGAAATATCTTGGAGCTTTCAAAAGTTCAATTTTTTTCATTGCAGGTCATGAGGCGGCCTTTATTTTATACTACATATTATGTATTTAGACATCAATAAGTTTAGTGCAGTATGTTTATTCAAAGCCACTTAAATCCGTTTATATTTTGTTTCACACACATCTTGATGAAAAGTCAGTTGCGCGAGCCTTGTGTTCAAATCCAAAAAATTAAGATAACTTTCTGTTTTAAAACTCTATTCCATTAAATCCTGAAAAACATTCATTCGATAAGTTTTTCTTTCTACTTATTCGTATAGTTTTAAGAACTCACTATTTGAACTTTACAAATACTTTTTGCCGTACAGTTTGCGACCAGGTTTTCCTTTGAATGAACTTAGAACTGACCTATTAGGAATATCACCTTGTTGGGCGAAGACATCGGTCAACCACCTTTCTTGTGGAAAATATGGTTAGGTCAGTTTTTCTAATACCGATCTTAATCTGACTCTTTTATCTCCTAGTCTCAAAAGATCTAGTGTAAACTGGTTTATGCGAGTTAGTTCTTGGAGTTTATCCAGAAGGAGAACAACTGTATACAAAGTTTTATTCAAAGTGTTCTGTTGCTGAAGCTACAAGTAGTTTCAGCACTTACAAATAAGTGTCAATGTTAGAGATGGAATATGATTGGTTAGTTATAAATATTTTATAGTGATAATCTATCAATAAAAAAATTGTTTTATAAACACTAGTTTAGAACTGGTTCCACCCGTCCGGGGTTTAGAGAGTTTTTAGTTTTTAATTGTTCAAGGTAGTGGAGGACGGGTGATGTAGTTTCTTTTTGAAGTTGCGAGCATTGAATTCTTGGAGAGAGGGAGAAGTGTGGTTGTTTGTGTTAGACGGAGGAAGATTGTTTTGTTCTTGTTTCAAGATGGGTGTCATTGATCGTGATGGTCTAGGGTGATTGTGTCGAGACTTCTGATCGATGCAATGGTGTACCGGTTTCGTTAAGTTTGGAACGAGACTACGTGCAGAGTGAAGTTTGACTTTTCCGTGTGAAGTGCCAAGTGACTAGGATCGGTACGTGTAATCATCATCGATATTGCCATTGATCTGATTCAATGGTTTTCCTTTGCTGCGATGTTGAGTCCATACTTTAAATTCTTTGAGGGTAGTGATTTAGGCAGCAAATCGAATAAATTTGCCATTCCAGAATTGGATTGTAGTTGGGTTGCCATCTTCTTTGCTGCTCGTTCCTTGGGCTCTAAGAAATCTTTACATACTGAATTTATGGCTGACATACATAAATACCGTTTGCTAATTAAGTTTTAGTTATGATTTCTTATTAATTGTAATCGCAAAAGCGTTTTATTTTAGTTTGATTATTTTTTAAGAGTCGTTCACACTAGAGCAATTCTCGGCAAAAATACAGTGTGGGTCACAAAGCGTGGTTGTAGCGCGATGGGTTAGGCCGGCTATAGAGCATGCTAATGATGTCCCTCTGGTTGGTTAGGCCAGGAGTGAGTTATATTTTTATGGTCTCCTTGTGCAGAGTCTCTTTATTTGGTCAACCGTTTGTTTCATTTTTATTACTTGTTTTTTTCGTTTTTGTTTTGATTGTGTCCTTTTCTCAAAAATAATTTTTTGATTTGGGTTCATCTTTCGACTTACTGTGTTTTATTTGGTTGCGGTAAACTTGAAGGTGGTTTTCAAAACAATGATTTTTCCAGTTTTAATCTGGTTTTAAATCGGTTTGGGTACCGTGAGATTTTCTTTCTTAGTCATGCTATTAGTTTGTGGTTTTGTGACGTTAGTAAGCTAGATTGGTTAGTTCAGTTTATTATATAATTTCGTCCAACCGGGTTAGAGGGAAGTTTGAAATGTGTGGAATCAAGTTAGAAATGTTATCAGTGAAAGTTGAAACTTAAAATTCACTATTCAAACAATTCTTCGTGGGCGGTCTTGGCGATTGTGGAAAGAGTGTGTAGTTTATGAGCGAGTGAATGATTCAATTTTATAGAAAAAAGCGTCTTGTAAAAAATAGTACTCGTCAAATTATTTGCAATTTTTTATGAAAATACTACATTGAAATATTAATATTACTGTTTTGGTGGTCTAAATTTATAAAATTATTGCTGTGTAGAGGGAAACTTACTGCTTTAGAGAATTAAACTTATGAATTCACTACTTTTCAAAGGCAAATTTTACTGCTTAATAAGTGTCAATGTTAGGGATGGATTATGATTGGTTAGTTATAAATATTTTATAGTGACAATCTATCAAAAAAATAATTGTTCTATTAATACTAGTTTAGAATGGTTCCACCCGTCCGGGGTTTAGAGAGTTTTTAGTTTTTAATTGTTCAAGGTAGTGAAGGACGGGTGATGTAGTTTCTTTTTGAAGTTGCTAGCATTGACTTCTTGGAGAGAGGAGAAGTGTGGTTGTTTGTGTTAGACGGAGGAAGATTGTTTTGTTCGTGTTTCATGATGGGTGTCATTGATCGTGATGGTCTAGGGTGATTGTGTCGAGACTTCTCATCGATGCAATGGTGTAGCGGTTTCGTTAAATTTGGAACGAGACTAACTGCAGAGTGAAGTTTGACTTTTCCGTGTGAAGTGCCAAGTGACTAGGATCGGTACGTGTAATCATCATCGATATTTCCATTGATCTGATTCAATGGTTTTCCTTTGCTGCAATGTTGAGTCCATACTTGAAATTCTTTGATGGTAGTGATTTAGGCAGCAAATCGAATAAATTTGCCATTCCAGAATTGGAATGTAGTTGGGTTGCCATCTTCTTTGCTGCTTGTTCCTTGAGCTCTAAGAAATATTTACATACTGAATTTATGGCTTACATATATAAATACCGTTTGCTAATTAAGTTTTAGTTATGATTTTTTATTAATTGTAATCGCGGAAGCGTTTTATTTTAGTTTGGTTATTTTTTAAGAGTCGTTCACCCTAGAGCAACTCTCGGCAAAAATACAGTGTGGGTCTCAAAGCGTGGTTGTAGCGCGATGGGTTAGGCCGGCTATAGAGCATGCTTATTGCGTCCCTCTGGTTGGTTAGGCCAGGACTGAGTTATATTTTTATGGTTTCCTGGTGCAGTCTCTTTATTTGGTCAACCGTTTGTTTCAATTTTATTACTTGTTTTTTTTTCTTTCTTGTTGTGATTTTGTCCTCTTGTCAGAAATAATTTTTTGATTTGGCTTCATCTTTCGACTTACTGTGTTTTATTTGGTTGCGGTAAACTTGAAAGTGGTTTTCAAAACAATGATTTTTCCAGTTTTAATCTGGTTTTAATCCGGTTTGGGTACCGTGGGATTTTCTTTCTTAGTCATGCTATTAGTTTGTGGTTTTGTGACGATAGTAAGCTAGGTTGGTTAGTTCAGTTTACTATATGAGTTTTTCAACCGGGTTAAGCAGAGTTTGAAATGTGTAGAATCAAGGAAGAAATGTTATCAGTGAAAGTTGAAACTTAAAGTTCATTATTTAAAAAATTCTTCGTGGGCGAGCTTGGCGAATGTGGAAAGAGTGTGTAGTTTATGGGCGAGGGAATGATTCAATTTTGAAAAAAGCGTCTTGTAAAAAGTTTAGTACACTTTAATTTATTTCCAATTTTTTATGAATATACTAAATTGAAATATTAATTTTACTGTTTTGGGGGTCTAAATTTATGAAATTATTGCTGTGTAAATGGAAACTTACTGTTTCAGAGAATTAAACTTATGAACTCACTGCTTTTTAAAGGCAAGTTTTACTGCTTTTAATTAAATACTGCAATTGTTAGAATGAAATTTAGAGTTAGAAGAAAAAATTTTTACAATTTTTTCAACTTGTTTTAGATGATTGAGTGGTGAATTCTTAAAAAGAAAAGTGAAACATTTATAAAGAATGGTTAGATAAGTTAAAAT